GTGACAATGGTCGTAATATTTCTATTTGGCAGCAAAGATTACTAGATTGTGATTGGGTGATAATAGTAGATAGATAACATTTGAGAGATATTGGTCAGGAAATACAATCATGAGCTGATGGTCAAAATATGATAATTGGACAACAATGACTAGGAGAAAATAGTTGGGTGATAATAGATAGAAGACAAATGTTAGAAGATAACAGTCATATGAAGATAATGATCGTGCGATAGTGATCAAATGATGACAATGATTGATGGTGATCATCATCATTGAACGTCAAATAAAATTTTAGAGTTCTTCAAAATTTAAGCACTCAAAAATATCTAGTCAAGATCCCAAATCTAATAATTATGGCTTATATTTGTTTTTTTTAAATGGAATTTCGATTATTCAAGCCAAGATATATAAAATGCTCTATCGGATGGCCCATAAAAATTCCTTTAATCGCAGACCTTTCATCATTTATGCGCTTTCACATTCTTGAATTTTAAGTGACCATAAGCTCATTCGATTCTTCTTACTCATACAATCATTCAAACTATAAGCATGCCCAAAGTGGGGATTATTCCTTTCTTTAATTATCATCATCAAGTTCTTAACTTTATTTCAAGTATTTGATTCACAGTTTGACTTGATTCACAGTTTGACTTGAATCAGATCACTTTTCGAGTTATTGGATTAATTTATCTTATTAAAATACTGAGTTAAACTTTAAATTTATTAAACTCAAAATTTAGATGATTTAAAATTTAATTTTTCAAATTTATAGTTGAAAAGTTACATTGAGTTTCATGCATGATCAAATAATTTTTTTAATAATAAATTATTATTCTCCTATTTTCAAATGTCTTTGAACTAGAATTAATAAACTTAAAAAAAGGAGCTATGTAGGCTTCATCGTATATCACATTGATGCGTGCTAGAAAATTCACAGCGGTGGAGTAATAGATTATTGTCCTAACATTGCATAAGATTTCAGCATACACTCAGACAAAAGAAAACAACCAGTATTGACACTGAAGATTTTTACATGGAAAACCAGTAAATGGAAAAAACCAGAAAGACTAGCCTAGTTGTAAAAATCAACTATAACTTAAGGGTTACAAAGTTATTTGAATTAAAATGTCAACCTGCAAATGAACTTGTTATAAGAAGTGGGCGGCAGCCTATGATGATTAATGGAGGTTAGCAGGTGGTGGTTGAAGGTGGTCGGCTGTGGTCAAATATGGTCGGCGGTGATAGATGGTGGTCAGCGGTGGTCAATGAAGGTTATCTACGATCGACGGTGGCAAGAGTTGTGTTGGACTTCAGCTCATTGTCAAGGCTTCAAGTTACCCCTCATGAGAGGCGTGGCAGTTTATTTATAGTGTTCTGAGTACAATTAATGTAGGAATATAAATCACTTTGATCGGATAGTCCAAAGAGCTTCTTTCGATCAGACGGTGTTTGATGGACATTTGCAGTTTATTTATAGTGTTTTGAGTACAATTAATGTAGGAATATAAATCAATTTGATCGGATAGTCCAAAAAGCTTCTTTCGATCAGACGGTGTTTGATGGACATTTGAGTGCATTAACGATGTCGAAATTGAGAAATCTTGGACTCGTTGGATTCGTCTAGTTGAGACGATCGATTCGACAATAAGCTTGCTAGATTCGACATTCGTTTGACCTTCTAAATATGTCCTAAAATCTTTTAAGTGTGGTTTAATGCTTGATCTGAGTTTGATTTTACTTGTATTGAGCTAATTGTGACATCATGTGATCCGTCTCATTGAGCCGGCCAATCTGACTATAAGTTTACTTAAATCGGAGCTCTGGATGACTCTTAATTGATGTTTGAATGTTTCTTGCTCAAAAAATTATTTTCATAATCGTGTCATACCTTGAGATTCGTGTCGGGCGATTAAAATTTGTTGGCGGCGTATCACGTGCAGTAAAGGATGGTATTTATTTCTTGTATGAACAAAAAGTTGTATTTTAAATAATTAAATGCTCTTGTACATCCCAAAAATTCATGGCTTTTTAGCTTTTAAGATGAGAAAAAAAATAAAACTTTTTGAGGCTTATGACAAAGTTTGTGTTCTTGAAATCTTATAGATGAGAAAGAAAATTTGTACTTCCCAAAATTATTATTTGAATTTATTTTCCTAATTCCAACCAAATGAATTGCTAAAATTCCATTCTCCCCCTCATCATCACTCCAAAATCAGCCAAAAAAGCGCTCTAACCACAATTAATTAATGAAAACCCAATGATATCATTACCATGCACTAACCACAAAATTCCCACACCCTTTCAAGCCAATATCGATTAATCAATCATCAATCATTCTTTATTTCCAGCAAGGGAATAAGCTTTTGTCCTCTCCCCTTTATAAAATCCTAAAGTAATCTTCTTCCTTCTTCCATTGGTGGAAGATTTAACTTTCAATTACACAAAATCTTACAATAAAAGATGCAGAAATTTAATGGAGTATATGTGAGCTAATTAGCGGCACTAATACTCCCATAAAAATCTGAAATTCAGCTCATCCGTCCACAACGAAACCCAACCCGCTCTGAAATCAATGATGTCCGGGAGGTCCAGAAATGCGGCGTCTTCATCGCTAGAGGACGGCGGAGTGGCCGGAGGAGTTGACTGCTTGGGGAGAGGTGGTTGGCGGTAGGTGAAAGCAGCCGCCTTTGCGGCGGCGGCTTGGATGTCCTTAGGGGAGGTGGTGGCGGGGCGAGGGAATTCGGCGGCGAGGTGAGGGAAATTGAGCTGGGCGGATTGGCCCTTGATGGTGAGGGAAGCGACGTCGTGCGCGCGCGCGGCCATTTCGGCGGTGGGGAAAGTGCCGAGCCAGATGCGCGATTTCTTCTTCGGCTCGCGGATTTCGGAAACCCACTTGCCCCAGTTTCGCATCCGCACGCCGCGGTATTTCGGCGGCTTGAGATCTCTGTTTCGCTTTCTGGTGTGGGGGAAGGAGTCTTCGGGATTCGGGGTGGAGGAAGTGGAGGAGGAGTTGTGGGAGAGGGATTGGTCCATGAGGATTGGTGGTGGAGGAGGAGGAGATTGAAGGGGGGTTTTAAGAGTGGGACGAAGTGAGGGGAATTGGAAGGAAAAATAAATTCCGCCAGATCACATGGCATTGCGCGCGGACGGATTGATTGGCTTGAAGTAAGTGTTGACTGGAGGTCGGAAGATGGGGTTTTACTTCTAGTGAGAAAATTCTTTATTTTTTTTTTATAAATTAATGTTTCATATTTTTAATTAAAAAAATTAATTGAAATGTTTAAAGATAAATATCAAAATTCTTTTTTTTTTTTTATAAATTAATGTTTCATATTTTTTGATAAAAAAATTAATTGAAATGTTTAAAGATAAATATCGGACAATTAATATATGTTAAATTCATATATATTTAGATATCTAACACTTAAAACTTTAACTAACATTTTGCTTATGCAATTAACGGAGTATTTCACCATTTAGGAGTTAATATAATATAATATGATGATGACCCTTTTTTTTTAAGTGTGATTATAAAAAAAATAAAGAAAATTGAAATGTTTAAATATGTAAATTTATAGGAATTGGGTGGATTTGTGCGTAGATGTCTGAAAAATATGTTGGGTATCTATTTGGTGGGGGTATTAAGGACTGTTTGAGGTAGCTGCAGTGGTTTGAAGAAACAACTATGAAGTTATTGTAGAAAGAAATAAATGTAAGAAAGTTGTTGTTGGTGAAATAGACATATGTTTGGATAGTTCAGTTTGGCTAAAGTTGTTTCTGAAATTAACAAAATGTAATGCTCTTATATACTTGTTGTACTTCTAACTTTATCATTTCGAAGTTAACTCAAACACAATAGCATAAATGAATATTATAAATTCTCAAAAAGTTAGAAGTTCAAAATATTGCATAAAGTTTTATACATCACTTAGCATGAAAATTTAAATTATAATTGCAACAAGTAATGTTAACATAATGTTGTTTTTAATGCCAAAACAACTAAGTCTATTGAAAAATTTTATTCCTGAAGTTACTCTTCATACATAGTTACTATATGAAGTGGACCACTTCAAGTCGTTAGCCCATCTAAAAAAGCTACAATTATCAATTGATATATTTTTTGAATATCTATAAAATCTTTTCTTATAGCTAGTTTATTGTTGTGATGCAAAGGCATAACATTGAAAAACACAACTACAGTACACAACTTAAGTGATAATAGAAGTCAATGAACTCATATTGTGCGGGAATAGTTTAGAGAAAAATGGTGGCCTCATAATTAATATAAAGAGTTAAATAAGTTGCCATTATAAGAAGGTAGAGGACCGAAAAAGTAGAGGATTTTTATTATCTCAAGACACTTAATACAACACTCATATATGGGAAAGCACAGAGCAAAAGAAACCATTCAGAAGAGCCACTAAGTTTATATAACTAAAAAAGAATAGGTTATTGGTTGCCTTAAAGCACTTATAATACCCAACTCATATATGTCGGAATGCATAGCAGCATAAAGACCATACAAACGAACCAAAAAGGTTCCAATCTCCTTCACTAAAGAAATAAAAATCCAATTTAAGAATAATGTTCAAGACTTCCTGAAGCACAAAACATTTTTGTATCTTGTTGCTCGGACCATCGATTTTTATTACGTATCTATTCATATCTAATAAAAATAACGACCAATATAGAAAAAGCATTAGAAAGACCACCACATCCCCAACAAAAACTTACAACGGGCTTAGAAAGAAGATATAAGGAAGAAAAGAAACTAAACCCTACATCCCTAGCAAAAACAACAACAACTGATCAATCCATTGATCTTCAAAGGCATGAAAAAATCAGCTTGAACACGAGTAAATAATAACATAACCGTAGAACAATACAAGCACTCGAAATACTTTGCAAAATCCATAGAAAAACCCTAAAGAATGAAATTGCCATAAAAAACTCAACATAGGTGATGACATGTCAAGGGAGAAGACCTTGAAATTAGGGGAAGTCAAATACCCTTACATGAGTAGATAATAAAACAACCACAAAACTATAGAAGAAATAAAAAAGATTTTACAAAAACTATAGAAGTATCTGAAAGAATAAAAATGTATAAAAAAACACGCGACTTAAAATGATAGTTGAGAGAGAAGACCTCAAAACCAGAGTGGTCGAATACCTTCGAAATGATAACACACACAAACAAGAAAACGAATTGAAACAATGGGTGATCAGTGAGAGATCAAAGTGATAGTGTTGGGAGAGTCGAACGAAGAAGAATTCAAAACTGCGAACATTGATAAGAGAAAAAAGTTCACAAAACTCCCTTATTTGAGTCCTTATTTTTCAAAATGACGTCACTGAATGTTGCCACAAACATTGCTGCAGCGGTGCGGGACAACGTACATAACAAACCCCAAATAAATATTATGAGATGCTTTAATGATTTTTTATACGTAAAAGAGAGTTTTGCATTACTTATTATTATTATTTTTACTTTTACAAAAGTCGCTTAAACTTTTATTTCATTTTTATGCTGCCTCTATTTTTTTTTTCTTCGTCAAGAAATGGAGCATCTTTTAATGTGGCATGGCCATCAATTACTTTAATTTTGTGAATTTATTAATTAAAATCAATTTATTTAAACTAATTTATAAACCTTAACATCCAAACCAATAAATTGAACTGAATACACAGAACACAAAAAATATCATTATTTATAAATTAAACACTCCTGTGATTTTTTGATCTATGAAATCGATACATTTAACGAGTTACATTTAACGAGTTACTCATGTGACATCATTTATGTAAAGAAAAGAATAGAATTTGCATTTAATTGCAGTTGACATCATACAAGTAAATTGAACAATTGAAAGGATTCAGGTAGAAGACAATTTCTCCAAATGATTGGGAAAAAGAACAAAAATACAGTATCGAAGGGTACAGTGCCGGCCGGTGTTTTCCATGTGCTTCTGATTGTCTCAAGCGTCTCAATGAGTTATTATGTGCTTCCCACCGCCCTTTTTGGTGACATGTCAACAATGCCAAATTGAAATTTTTAATTCAATCAAATTTATTTGGTTGATTTTTGCTCTGTGTTTGCGGATTTGCGGCGTAGAGTAGTAATTTTATCGCAAATATAAATAGAAAAGAAATAAGTGGGAGGAGACATCTCAATTTTTTTACGTTAAATCAGGTCATCGTAGATGTCAAATATGAGTTCATTGATAATTGTCATAATCCGACTCGCTTAAAAAATAATTATCAAGAAATATGCTCAAATATATTAAATTTCAAGAATTTTTCTTTAAATTACTAAAAATAATTGAAAACTGGTATTTTATATTTTATATAAAAAAATTCTTATTAATTTTCTTGTATATATTTATTATATATTTGCCATTTAATTATAATATTAGTTTAAATTAATTTTTTTCTTTTTTTCTCTTTTTAATGCTAAACAAATCGGTTTAAATTCATAGAATTATGTTCGAGTTCGAGCTCGAACTCGAACTCGATTAATTAATCAAGCTCAAGTTGAGAATGATTCGAGCTCGACTCGACTCATTTACGTCTCTACTATTTGAGAGTAAGAATTATTTGAAATATGATTATTGATTTCATTTTAAAATAATAATAATAAAAAAATTAATATTGGTATTTCATCCTTGGTGTCTCCACCCTCGCCGTTCGATTTTGGACCCGGGTGTGCGAATTTCAATTTAATTAAAATTGAGCAGAATAAAAAGACCTAAATTTTGGTTGGGTTTTAGGTCAAGTCTGGTCGGTTCAATTCGGTTATTTGGTACGTGGAACAAATTTGTTCGGTTAAATAAATCCATCAATCAAAATCAACATCGAATGCATGCACCTACGCCAGTACTATCTTCTGATATAAATGTTTTAAAATGGCTGTAAACTCTTTTA